CTAGCCTTCTCTGTCAGAGAGCTCTGCTGCCACAACAAACTACAATTCCCAGGATTCTCTAGCACTGAGACAGGGCAGTTAAACGGGGTCTCGAAACTGGATTATTTCTGCAGTGTGTTTTGGACCTTGATCATATAAGTACACAACCAAGTCATCTGCTCACAGCCACATAACCAGAGAGACTTCATGGTGGAGGGATCTACTTGGTGTGTGTGTGTGTGTGTTGTGTGAAAGACCTACACTTTGAATGAAGTTGGGGGTATATATCAGTGCAGAAGGCAGCTCACAACTACTTACATCTAGGGTTGACATAATTCTCTACCACAAAACCTGGACAAACAAGATAAAATGTACGACAAGTGGACCAAATTTCCCCCAAAATGTAGGACATTCAAGAAAAATGGAGGACATGACCAACTAAAACCCAAAAACATTAATAAGTTAAAAAAAAAAACATTAATATAAATGCATGCTTATTAGTCATGCTCAAAATGGAGGAAATTTTGACATTATTCCTGGACAGAAGGCAGAAATGTAGCTCCTCCTTTCCAGCCAACATACAACTATCAACAAACCTCCCAATCCAAAACACACACACACACACACACACACACCACATTTTGACATTTAACATGGCTTTATTGTATATTTCAGTTTGATTTATTTCTTTAAAAAAACCCAAACACACCACATTTTGACATTTAACATGGCTTACTGCATATTTTAGTTGCTTATTCCATAACAAACCCTTTCGGTTTAACATTTAGCATGACTGTATTGCATTTTTAACATGGCTATATTCCATATTAGAGTAGTTTAACAAGTGGTTTTGCCCTTGGTTTAAGGTTTCTTGCACCAACTGTACTTGGAAGGCCCAAGGCCAGTCCAGAAACCCACCCACCCCAGCCCTGCGAGGCCTACTGGGCCCTATTGGGCCTTCTTGCTGCCCATTGTGGTGAAAGGGAAGAGGCAGTGGAAGTGGAGGCTGGGGGGGGGGGGGGGGGGGGGGGGGGGGGGGGAGAGAGAGAGAGAGGCAAAGATTGTTTGAAGATTGGAGAAAGCTAAACCGGGCCGGGACATTCCAAAAGGTTGAAAAAAAGGGATTGTCCTGTGGAAAAACGGGATATGGCAACCCTACTTACATCTTAAAACTGAAATTTCTCTTAGCCTGATTAGGTTAAGCCCTTGTTACTTTCGAGAAATGCAGTTAGCCCTCCACATTTGCAGCTGTGGCTTTTGTAGATTTGATTATTCACGGATTTTATTAATACGTTCTCTCTCTTAAGTCTTCCAGTGTGACTCTGGTCAACTTCTGCCAAAGGTCACGCTGAAGGAGTTAAACAGAACACTTCTCTAGACATTTGTAGGTCCTCCTGGCAGATGTTGATCATAGAGGTGCCCTAGAGGACCTAGAGATTCCTAGAGAGGTGTTCTCTCAGACAGAAAAAATAAGTGTTTTTTATTTGTGGTTTTCCCATGTTCACAGGTGGCCCTAATAATAATAATAATAATAATAATAATAATAATAATAATAATAATAATAATAATAATAATAATAATTTATTTATATACTGCCCAATTGTTGCCCAATCAGGGCGGTTTACAACATAAAACACAATTACAATAAAGAACAATTCCTGTGCCCCTAACCCGAGCGAATGTGGAGGGCCCACTGTACAGTTAATAGTATAGGTGAAGTTACCACATTGCTCCTCTTGTTAAAGTTAAAGAATTACCATATATACTTATACTTATTATTATTATTTTCTTATATCCCACATTTTTCCTAACACAGGGAGTCAAAGCAGCTAACAGCAATTGTAAACACAATACAGTTTAAAACAGTACAATATTAAAATGTGTAAATATAAAATTTAAAACAATAATTAAATAATTTTAAGAGTTAAAACAATTATGAATGAAAATGTAATATGTTAAAAATAGAAATCTTAAAATTTAAAATGCACAGCATTTAAATCCCAGCCCTTAGCAGCTTGAAAAGGCCTGCCGGCATAAGAATGTCTTTACCAGCCGCTGGAAAGATAGCAGGGATGGAGCCATCCTGGCCTCTCTAGGGCAGGAGTTCCAAAGCTTGGGAGCAGCCACTGAGAAGGCCTTGTTACAGTCCTTCTCGTTATGCTCATATACTCTTATTATTCTCTTATACTCATGTATAAGTATAAAAATTTTAGTCTTGAGTCAACTTATCCATGTAAGTACTGTACCTTAACTCCTATCAAAATAGGAACCCTCTCTTTCTCTAAGTAAAGTGGTGAAAGGTGAGAGCTGCCTTAATCCATCCCTGGAGAACTGGAAAGTGCTGACCTCTACTCTCTCCATTGAGGCACCACTTTTGGTCTTTTTGAATGCCTGGGTGGGAAAAATAGTGGCATTCTTTGTCATAATTTTCCTTTCCCTTGTCCTTTACATGGTTTGTTACATGCAATCTAAGTTTTACCCTCGACTTATATATGGGTTATATAAAAATTAATAATCATGGCCCAAAAACCTGCCCTCAACTTATACAACTTATATATAAGGTCGACATATAGGGTCGATATATAGTTGAGTATATATGGTATTAGGGGTGGGGTGGGGGTCAGAATTTTTTTTTTTCAGATTTACCAAACAAATGTCCACTGGTAGATCAAACAAATGGACCCTAGAACAGATCAGGCCTGATCGCTTTCTGGACGCCAAGATGACCAAATTGAGACTGTCGTACTTCAGACAAATCATGAGAAGGAATGACTCAGAAAAGTCAATAATGCTATGAAAAGTAGAGTGCAGTAGAAAGAGAGGAAGATCATATAATAAATGGATAGACTCAGTCAAGGAAGCCACAGCTTGAGCCTACAGGACCTGAGCAGAGCGGTTGAGGACAAGATGGTCTTGGAGGTGTCTCACTCATAGGACCTTATCACACGTGGGCCACAAAGCGATTAAGAAAGCGAAATAAGAATAAATCCAGGAATAAACCGAAAGAAATCCAGGAATAAACCACAATACGTAAATGGCTATCAGACGCAACTAGCATCATCGCACAATTAACGAAAGCGCAATGAAGCACTCCTGGGAACTGTATTTGCTGTTCGCATACAAGTGAGAAAATCCTGGACATAACCAAGCAATGATGCTTTGGTACAGCCGCGGCTGTCACTTGTCGCAGCTGTCACCCCTTCCCAAGCCCCAAGCCGGCTCTCTGAGGAGCCCCAAGGCCCGTGCAGGTCCTTGGAGCGCGGGCGGGGGCAGGGAAATTCTCCCCAATACGTATTGTCTGTTTAAAACTTGGCCAAAAGCGAAATGATTCCCGTCGCGCACTTGTACTTCCTGAAGAAACCGAAATACAAAAGATCACAGTTCTTGTTGCATTCTGTCGGGGTTCTGTGCGACATCGTGTGAACACACGGAACAATAATACGTATCAAGTCAGGATTTCGTTTGGGTTCTGACTGCTTTGGGCCCCATGTGATAAGGTCCATAGAGTCCCCATGAGTTGAAGTCAACTTGAAGATGGTTAACAACAAAAGAGATCCAGGTCTGTCTTCTGCCGATTCAGGGCACATAGTAACTTTTGAGGACAGCTGCTTATTGAGATACAATTTGGTAACTCATTTCCAAGACCGCTTAGTTTGTTAATAGGTTAGTTAATGTAAATCTGTTTTAATAATATTTTTGCACTTTATCACTCCATTCCATCAAAGACAGTTATGAAAGCAGTGCTTCTCAGGACTACTGTATTTTCTTTAAAAGAAGTTTAAGATGTTCAGAGGAAGACATACAATTCCAGAGAACAAAATGCATTTTTATATCCAGAGGACATTTGCACTGCTTTTCTTAGTACCCACATTACCAAAAAAAAAAAAGCTTTGTTTCACATTTCAGTTGGGAAAAAGATTCATTTGCATTTGTGGAGATATGTTTGAAGTGACATTACTATTGGATTAGCTCAAGGATGTGCGGATTATTATTGGGTGAAGGGCACAGAACAGTATTTTACTGTACAGAACGATACCTGACCCTTGGCATGGGAGATTTTCCTGCACCCTTGATGCAAGAGTGGGACTTGGGCAGACACTTCCTCAGCCAGATGAAGAAGCTCCATTGGTGCTTGGGTTCCTCTTGATAGAAAATCAGTAAAGTTTTGTATATCATTCATACAGTAGCATTTTACAAGATGGGGAACATAGCTTGAAAGCACTGCTATAGATCACAAGCAAGGATGGAAAATAGCTGATTTAGTAGACTGGCTAGGAACTGGTATCTTATTTGTGCCCTGTGGCTACAACTGTTTCTTTCTTTCTTGGAAACTCAAAATGTACTGGGACCATCACTTCAATTAGCACTATACAGCCAAATCAAACTGCATATGATGCTGGGGGGTGGCGAGTCTTCCTTGTTTTCTAACTGGCTTGTTTTCTCACCCAGATAAGTAATATATGACCATTATGGAAAGATTTTTTTTTGTTTGTTTGTTTGCAGGTTTCACAAGCTGCAGCTGATTTAAAGCAGTTTTGTCTGCAGAATGCACATCATGATCCTTTATTAACAGGAGTATCGTCAAGTACAAATCCATTTAGACCACAGAAAGTCTGTTCATTTCTCTGACTTGGTGAAATACATGGGATCTTGTCATGGTAAGTCTTCATAATTTTATTACTTTAGATGATGTAAAGTTGTGCTGTACTTACAAAGTTTTTCATTAAAAAAATAAAAATAAATAAATTTATTACCTTAGCTTTTCTAAGTACAGCAGGAAGACTTCTTACCCTCCATAGTGTTACTCATTAAAAATATTTATATCCCATCATAGAGCCGAGGATCAGAAGGTAATGCACAATAAAATTTAAAGGCTAAAAGTATTTTCAACCAATTAACAGTTCAATGAAATTTCCATTAAATCAGATCTTCTAATACCTTCCAGAAAGGATCTCACAATGCTCAATAGGTCCTATCCAAATAAGTGTGCATTTTATATAAAACTAAGTTTCAACTAGAGAGCCAGTGTGGTGTAGTGGTTAGAGCATGGAACTAGGACTCTCAGAAGCAGGGTTTGAATCCCTGCTTGGCCATGGAAACCCAGAGTGATCTTGAACATCACACATTCTCAGCCTCAGAGGAAGACAAAAGTAAACCCCCTCTAAAACAAACAAAACAAAATGCCATGATAGAATGACTGCAAGTTGGGAAAATGAATTGATGGTACACAACAAAGTTTCAGCTGCTGCTGGTTGAAGACAGGGTGGGCAGCCTTTGAAGGCTATGGGGGCACACAAGCTACATGGACTTTGCCCCTAAATGCTCTCTAGGAGGCATGTGGGGCATTTTCACCATCCTTTTTGGTCCAGGTGTTTGTGAACCCCTTTAAGATCCTTGTAGACTTATGACAACCCCATGAAACTCAGAGAGTTTTATTAGACAGGGAATACTTAATAGGTGGTTTTGTCAGTTCCTTCCTCTGAAAGCATCTGGTGTTTGTTGGAAGTCTCCCATCCAAATACTAACCAGGGCTTGACATTGTTTGGCTTCCAAGATTAGACAGGATCTGGTGTCTAGGATATTAGGCAAGCATTTAGTTCCAGGAGAAACCTTTCATTACAATAGGAAGTAATCACGAAGTCTACTGTTTTGTTTTGAAAGGCCTCTCCTGAGTCTAAAATGCTTCCTCCCCCATGGCAAAAATGCCTCCCCCAGTCTTTAGAGGGCATTTTTGCAGAAAAAATAGGAACCACCAAGAGGGGCACATGCATCTTACATGTTGCTCATCCCAGGTCTTTGAGAAACTGCTTTATTCATAAACGTATCCAATATTAAACTATTAAATCTCTTGTAACTCTGAACATTTATAAGTTCTTCATTTGTGACAAATACTGACCTGTATTCATTTTTTTGACTAGCTGTATAGTGGTAGTGTGGATAACCACATCTTCCATGATCATGCATATATAATGATCATATGCATGTGCCTTACAATCTTTGGATAAACCCATGCTGTATGTTGTCTTAGGCCCAAAGCAGATGGGTGAAATAAGAGTGACTTCCAGCCACTTCAGGGCCGTGGTGTTCAGATGACGCACAACCCCAAAGCGGGTGGAAGCCAAGGCGAGTCCACGCCAAGCCAGCCTGAAAAGGAGTAGATTTAGATCAACTCCTGGCTGGCACAGGACAGGATTGCAGTAGTGGCCCGCTTCAGGAGCAGGATGGATGGATATTGTAGCCTCAGGCCATTTCTTCATGCCCATGTGCTTCACCCCTTAGCTACCCAAGTACAGATGAAGGCTAGTTGATCCTTTCTGTAAGATCCCAAAGAAAGCCCAAATGAACATTCCATTTGGACATTAAGTTTTTCAGTTGGTGATGAGATCGATTTCTTCAGTGTATTCAATATTTGTGTAGTATTTAGTCCTCTGTATCACCAACTACTGTAAGAACACTCTTACTGAATACATTATGTCAGGTATGAGTTCCACCAACTGTTCTCAGCAAATGACATGCTTACCTTGGGAATATCATAGTGTACTTCAAGTAAGGTTGTTTTGTTTTGTTTTTCAGATTTTCTAACTTTCCCTAACTGTTGATACATAGGATGGATGTGAAAGCAAAGCAAACTGGCTTGGAACCTGTACAGAAACGTTGCATTATTGTGCCAACTTAGACCTAGTATAATACTGCTACTGTTGTCAAGTCTCTTACAATCTACCTCTCTAAACAAACTGTATGCTAACTGCAATAACTTCTGTATCATGAGGGAATCAACTTTATATTCAAGCAATAAAGTGTTGCCTTAATCACTTTCAATGTTAATGCAAAGTTTTATAAGGTAGATAAAGAATGGTTGTGTTTTCTCAATGCAAGTTTTCTTCATACCTTTCTTACTTGCTCAAGGAAATAAAATGCTGTAACACAGCTTACTCAGCTGGCTGTACCAATAGCTTTAAGATTCTGAATACAAAATAGTGTTTACAGCCAAAATATAATCATTATAAAACTTTCTGCGGTTTCAGATAATTGTATACTCTCTTGAAATGGGCAGCATTTCATCTCAAAACATTCTCTTTCATTAGTAAACTGGCGTCATATCCCATTCTTAAATATACCCTACCAACCACTGCTTATACATCTAGAATTCCATGAAGTTTATTTAGTGGATGCTTCAGCCAATTTGAGAAAGCTAGGCCAGCATGGCATAGTGGTTTGAGTGTTGGGACAATGACTGAGGAGACCAGGGTTCGATTCCCCACTCAGCCATGAAACCCACTGGATAAGTCACATGCTTTTAGCCTCAAAGGAAGGCAATGGCAAATTTCCTCTGAACAAATCTTGCCAAGAAAACCCCATGATAGGTTCACCCCAGAGTTACCATAAGTTGGAAACAATGTAAAGGCACATAACAGCAACAAAATCTATGGGTGGCATCCTGTTGGTTAATTTCAGCTGGAGCAGACATTCAATCAATCTGACCATTTGACAATGCTAATTAAAACTCACCCACCCCCGAAGATGCCAGCCACAGATGCAGGCAAAATGTATGGAATAAACTCTTCCAAAATGTGGCCACATAGCCCAGAAAACCTGTATAACTAAAGAACATTTCTTTGAAATCAAAACAAAAATGTTCATGCATGTTAGGTCAAAGCAAGATTTGATGGTTACTGTTAAAGACTCGTGAGTAACTGAACAAGATCACATCAGTTTTAATTTAGAAAAACACTCCCTTTAACATTACATATCTAATAATACGGGGCATTGATTCACTTTGTGTTACAGATATACGCCCATGGCTTCCCTGTGCATCCATGCAAGGGAACCAGAAGCATTTGCTCTCATTTTCACCTAACCACAGTTTGATATATACAGACTGAAAACAAGTGTTAACTTATTTCAAGATGGCTTATTTAGACAAAACAGTAACCATAATTTCTCTCAGTTTTGACAATGTCAGAGTGCACAGATGAAAAAGGAAGCAAATGCATAAGCACAATGTTTATGCATGTAATACTAAACAGTGCTTTCACATGCATGTGAACTGTCATGGTGGAACACTAGCCAATGAGCTTTTCTGCCTTAAGATCCTAATTGCCACAAGTGGAACTGTAAATGACATTGCTTTGGAAAATCTGCTGACTTGGAAAACCTGGAGGAAAATGTAAGTTTCTACTTGACTTCAAAAATGCAGCGCTGCATCCTTTTGCTTAGCACAGATAAAACAATGGTGGCTAGCACTACATTCCTTTTTCTGGCTTTATATATTAACAAACAGCTCTAAACCAAACACATTCCTTTACTTTTTCTTTCCTACCTAAGTCAGTGCTGCATACTTGACCATTGAACCAACAATCATAATATTCTGAAATACAAAAATGCTCTGAAAATATTGAAGACTTAAAAATTGCATAAAACATTTACTTTTGACAATTTTGGGAAGCAACTCGCAGCCTGTGGCCATTTCAGATGTATAGCAGGGTTCTAGTTCTAAAATGGTCTACTTCCAATGACAAATCATTCCAGCAAAGAACTGTTACATGATTGTTAACAGCACTTTTTAAAAAGTTAACATCTTCACAAGCGGACAACAAATATAATTTCTTGCCACAGTAACATGAAATGTTCTCCTTGTAAATAAATAGAAGTAAAATTAGGAAGCTATTTAAGGCACTGAAGATGACAGGCATCAATCTAACTGTTCATCTAAGTCTGTTAGAAAAATGTTTCTTTGTGGAATTCTTCCCTTTAGACCAGGAGTAACCATAAAGCAATGATATCCCAGCTCCTGTGCTCTTGTTAACTCAGCAGGAAAAGAAAAAGCAGCACTGCTTTCTTAGTTTGCTGTTATAGGTGGAATTTTCTTCGACTTGTGTCCATTTCACGACGCTGAAAGATAAAGGGAGTGTTTACAATTTTCTTATGAAATGAACACATTTTATTAGTAAAAAAGGTGATGGTATCTGGATCAGGATAGTAACTTACAAATACTTGTATTAAAAACATTTATTTGCATTAGGCCACCCAAAAAGTGTTTTAGAGTATTTTGTAACCTTTGGCCTAATGAGATCGCCAATTTTTTTAATATATATATTTGATAAATATCCATGCAGTCATCTGAAGAAATGAGAAGCAGGAATCAACTTACCAAATGATCTTTTCTAAATAATCAGTAGTCAGCCTGACCTGGACTGATTATAAAGTGACTTCCTAGCTCCCTTTCCAAAAGTTTAATCGTACCACAAAGAATTTAGGTTATCATATAATGTGGTCCTTTGTTCCTGTTACTTAAATATGATCTAGAAAGAACTTCCAGTACTACTATAAGCAGCAAGTCCATTCACCACCATTATGGCAACTAATCATGCCTTCCAATGACAGCATAGAAGGCCATCACCACCTCAACAAGGAGTTACTTGTTTTTATTGTGTAAAGTAGCCACACTTTGTGAAGGAACAACATATAAATTTAGTAGGGAACAAGCCCCACTAAAAGTAAAGTTGTTCTCAATGGATATGATCCTGATGATTGCATTAGAGGAAAGATAAGGTACTTGGTACCAGAAATTATGGCTTGGCTAAAAGGGCAACTTAAAAACATTTAGATCTCTGATTACAGGCACAGTAAGGTGGACAATCATACTATAGTGTAAATTATTTGCATAAGGGACAAGCAAAAGCAAACCGAGGAAGAGGGGAACAGAACAGTCCTGATCTCCATCAAAGATTCATCAGAAACCAAGACGCCCCAGCCTATATCCACATCTACACAGGATGGATGGATGGTCCCAAAACATCTCATCTGGTATAGTACTCCATTTTACATTAGCTGTAGAGTTTCAGAAGGTTCTAGTATTCTCTAGTATGGCTTTATCTTGTTTTAACATATTCAAAAAAAATTGTACTCAACAAGAAACAATAAGAGTATGGCAAATATTTAGAATAGTTATGGGGAACCTGTGGCACTCCGTTATGTTGGGACTCAAATTCACTTCCGAACAGCCAACACTGACAATGAACTGGGATGAGATGAGTTGCAGTCCAACATCTGGAGGGCAACAGGTTCCACAGCTAAATTAAAAGATGGGTAA